TTTGGGGTAAATTTGGGGGGGAATTTTGGGGGATTTTGGGAGGATTTGGAAGCGAAAGGGGAGGAAGGATCGGGGGGGGGGGAGGGGGAATTTGGGGAATTTTGGGGATTTTTGGGGAATTTTGGGGATTTTTGGTGATTTTGGGGGAATTTTGAAGGATTTGGGGTAAATTTGGGGGGATTTTGGGGGAGAATTTTGGGGGATTTTGGGAGGATTTTGAAGCAAAATGGGAGGAAGGATCGGGGCAGGTGAGGGGAAATTTGGGGAATTTTGGGGAAATTTGGGGGATTTTGGGGAATTTTGGGATTTTTGGAGATTTTGGGGGAATTTTGAGGGGTTTGGGGTAAATTTGGGGGGATTTTGGGGGAGAATTTTGGGGGATTTTGGGAGGATTTTGAAGCGAAAAGGGAAGAAAGATCAGGGCAGGTGAGGGGGAATTTGGGGAATTTTGGGGAAATTTGGGGAATTTTGGGGAGATTTTGGGGAATTTTGGGGAGATTTTGGGATTTTTGGAGATTTTGGGGGATTTGGGGGATTTTGGGCTGAAATTGCAGGGATTTTGGGGAATTTTGGGGGGATTTGGGATGAATTATGGATGGAATTTGTGGGATTCTTGGATTTTGGGTGGAATTTGTGGATTTTGGGTGGAATTTATGGAATTTTGGGAGGAATTTATGGAATTTTGGGAGGAATTTATGGGATTTTGGGAGGAATTTATGGAATTTTGGGAGGAATTTGTGGATTTTGGGTGGAATTTTGGGCTTTTGGACGGAATTTATGATAATTTGGGGATTTCAGGTTAAAATTGGGGAATTTCGAGTGGAATTTGTTGATTTTGGGTGGAATTTGGGAACTTCGGGTGGATTTTGGGAACTTCAAGTGGAATTTGTTGTTTTTAGGCGGAATTTTATGGATTTTAGGTGGAATTTGGGGATTTTAGGTAAAATTTGTGGATTTCCAGTGGAATTTGTTGAATTTTGGTGAAATCTCGGGATTTTTGGGTGGAATTTTGGGAATTTTCAGGTGGAATTTTTGAAATTTCAGGTTTTTGGGTGGAATTTTGGGAATTTTGTGGGTTTTAGGTGGAATTTGGGGAGTTTCGGGTTATTTGGGTGTAATTTGAAGAATTTCATGGGTTTTGGGTGGAATTTTGAGAATTTTGGGTTTTTTGTGTGGAATTTTGAGAATTTTGGGTTATTTTTAGGCGGAATTCTGAGAATTCCAGGTTTTTTGGGTGGAATTTGGGGACATTGAAGAATTTTCTGGTGGAGTTTAGAGAGTTTCGGGGTTTTTGGGTGGAATTCTGGGAACTTTCAGATGGAATTTTGGAAATTTCAGGTTTTTGGGTGGAATTTGGGGAATTTCGGGGGTTTTGGGTGGAATTTGGGGAATTTTGGGGGTTTGGGGTGGAATTTGGGGAATTTCAGGAACTTTCTGGTGGAATTTAGGGAATTCCGGGTTTTTTGGGGTGGAATTCTGGGAATTTTTGGGTGGAATTTTGGGAATTTCGGGTCTTTTTGGGTGGAATTCCGAGAAATTTTCAGGTGGAATTTTGGAAATTCCAGGTTTTTGGATGGAGTTTCGAGAATTTCGGGGGTTTTGCGGTGGAATTTTGAGAATTTCGGGTTTTTTGGGTGGAATTTTGGGAATTTTTGGGTGGAATTTTGAGGTTTTCGGGGTTTTTTTTGGATAGAATATTGGGAATTTCGGGTGGAATTTTGAGGATTTTGGGGGTTTTGGGTGGAATTTTGGGAATTTGCGGTTTGTTTGGGGGTGGAATTCCGGGAATTTCCGGGTGGAATTTTGGGAATTCTGGGGTTTTGGGGGTGGAATTCTGGGAATTTCCGGGTGGAATTTTGGGAATTTCGGGTTTTTTGGGTGGAATTTTGAGAATTTTGGGGTTTTTGGGTGGAATTTTGAGAATTTTGGGGGTTTTGGGGGTGGAATTCCGGGAATTTCTGGGTGGAATTTTGGGAATTTCGGGGTCTCCCCCCCCAGGTCCGCCAGCCGCTCCGGGGAGAGGAAGAAGAGCAAGAAGAAGAAGCACAGGTGAGAAAAGGGGCGTGGCCTCACCTGAAAGGGGCGTGGCCTCACCTGAAAATGGGGCGTGGCCTCACCTGAAAGGGGCGTGGCCTCACCAACAAAGGGGGCGTGGTCTCACCCACAAAAGGGGCGTGGTTTGAGCTGGAAATGGGCGTGGCCTCATCTACCCAATGGGCGTGGCCAACCCCGCCAAGTGGGCGTGGCCTCACCTCTAATTGGTTACGGCCTTACCTAGAAAGGGGCGTGGCCTCACCTGAAAGGGGCGTGGCTTCGTATGAAAAGGGGCGTGGCCTCATCTACCAAAGGGGTGTGGTCAAACTCGCCAAGTGGGCGTGGCCTCACCTCTAATTGGTTATTGCCTTACCTAGAAAGGGGCGTGGCCTCATCTAGAAAGGGGCGTGGCCTCATGGACCCAATGGGCGTGGCCAACCCCGCCAAGTGGGCGTGGCCTCACCTCTAATTGGTTATGGCCTTACCTAGAAAGGGGCGTGGCCTCATCTAGAAAGGGGGCGTGGCCTCACCCAGCAAGTGGGCGTGGTCTAACCCCTAAAGGGGCGTGGCCTCACCTCTAATTGGTTATGGCCTTACCTAGAAAGGGGCGTGGCTTCACCCACCAAGGGGCGTGGCCTCACCCCTAAAGGGGCGTGGCCTCATTGACGCCGCCCATTTCCCTTCCCCCTCCAGGTCCGAATCCGAGGCCAAGAAGCGAAAGCACCGGTAAGGACAGGCTGGGGGAGGGGCGGGGGGCGTGGCCTATGGGTGGGCGTGGCCTCTGGGTGGGCGTGGCCTCTGGGTGGGCGTGGCCGGCCGCTGACGTCCCCGCCCCTCCCGCAGCTCGCCCAGCCCCAAGGCCAAGCACAAGGCCAAGGAGAAGAAGCGCAAGCGGTGAGCCCCTCCCCCTTCTTTAGCCCCTCACCCCTTGCCCATCCCCCTCTGACCCCGCTCCGCCCCTCCCCCCGCCCGCAGGTCCACCAGCCAATCGCAGAAGCCGGAGCGCTCTTCCTCCCCGGCCGGCTCCTCCTCCTCCTCGGGCTCCTCCCGCAGCAGGTGAGACCCCCCGGAAAAAAAAACAAAACCCCCCCCGAGAATCCCCTCCCCCACCCGCCCCTCCCCCCACCCACGGCGCTGCCCCGCCCCCGCAGGTCCCGCAGCGCCCCGGCCCCGCCCGCGGCGCCGGCGCCGCGCCGCCAGGAAGAGGAGCCGGCGCCGCCGCCATTGCCGCCGCCGGCCTCCCCCGCCATTGCCGCCGCCGCGCCGCCGCCGCAGGTGAGCGCCGGGGCGGGGCCGGGGGGAGGGGCGGGGCCGGGGGGAGGGGGAGGACCCGCCCTCACTGACCCCTCCCCCTTCCCGGCAGGAGCCGCAGCCGGAGCCGCTCGCGCCGCCCTCGCCGGCGCCGTCCCCCGGCGTCGCCGCCGCCGCCGAGCCGCCGCCCGTGAGCCCCGCCCCGGCCCCGCCCTCCCCCTCCCCGTCCCCTCCCCCTCCCCCGAAGC